GAGGCTTAATTTGGTTTCTTATCCGTAGACCAGTATAAAAGTACATAAAGTGACGAGTCTACACGTTTAATTCTTGCTCAGTGATTGCAGTAAGCACACAGTTGGATAGTTAGCATTCTGTGGTTTTGCTGTGTAATGAGCAGCATGCAGTTAGAGCATTAGGGCCTTACTTTTCAGTGGCTCGGCAGCCACCGTTACCGTTAGCTAACGTTGCTCTGTCTGTTACTTAGTAACAAGAGGCTCTCAGTGCACTTTAGTACTCATTCAGCTGATGTAGTGAAGTTACTAGAAATTATGAGTGCAGTGTGGAAGATAGTAGTTCCCCTTAAAATCAATTTCGGCATGAATAGAAAAATGGCAGATGTACGTAGTCGTGCCCTGAAACACATATAGGGATCCATTTCAGTCAGAGCTTGATTTGTAAAAGAAAGTGCAAAGTAGGAATTTGGATGCTGGAAGTAAAGGAGACTCCACTTTGGAATGTGGTTGGTTTGTGTGAACATCATCTTACTACAGGCTCTTAAATGGTTCCTGGCTCAAATGTACAGTTCAAGGAAAAGAAATATTTCATTTGTATAGAAACATTGCATTATGTGGAAAAGGAAGAGAAAACCTATTGACTCAACACACATATTATAAACAAGTGGGCTGTTGTCACAGTAGCTGCTCATTGGCTTTCAGCTATAATGGTGTTTCAAGTAAAGAGATCTGTGTTGTTTTACAGTACATGGAAATGCACCAAAATTGTTGTCCATGGTAATCGACCTTGAGACACATTGAAACGGTTCAAAACACTGGAGTATTGCTTTTAATTAACAGAATATTTCTATAGTGAACAGGGCTGCTGACAGTAAGAGACACCATGGGACACTGTCTGGAGCCTGTGTCCAAGAAATACATGAGGAACTAGTCCAAATACTCTTAATTCATTGTAGTCTGTTCCATTACAGTTGCTGTTATTGTAACTGTGCTAAGTGATGACAGAAAACAGCCAAGTCCCTTTACACCAATAATGCTGCAGTGTTGCAATCTTTAGCTCATTCATTTTTTTAGCTGCTTTTGGAAAAGGTGCAAAGTGCTTTTAATTAATCATTGTCATAAAAGGCTGAATGTACAAAGCTACAGTAGTTGCCTCAGCAGGCCTTCTAAAACATTTTGCCCCAATAATTCCTGACAATTCCCACAAGTCAAAGCAGGAAGTGTTGTGATTTATGATGTGAACTTTCGCTATGTTATCATTCATGTTTTTGAAATGACTGCAGATCCTCCTGTTTACTGGAAAGCTGTATATGTGATGCGTTTATGCTGCTAGACTTGCACAACCAGCCAAACATTACATTTCAGAGCAGTTAAAATGATCAACAGGTTTTTCTTTGTCCTTCACATCTGAATGGAATGACTTGTTTGGTGTGGCGTGATAGCTGGTGACTTTTTTTTTTTCTCTGTCTTCTGCTTTTAACCAATATTTGTGTTCACTGGTGAAGGAGGGAGTCCCAGAAAGTTGGTGCTGGAGAAGGCAAAAGTTTGAGATGATTTGGCCTGATCTTCTCATCACTTTGAAGCGTACACCATATGAAGTACTCACTCAAGGCCATGTGCTGCAACTTTCATTAGTTTCATTTGTCTGTGTGTCAGACCACAAATCTCTGATTTGCATGATGATAATGTTAAATTCAAAAACAGAGCCTGATAGACACACCTATTCAAATGCTTTTTTGCTGCGTAATGTGTCTGAAGTTTTTGTAATGACATTTTTTTAAAAGATTTGCTAGTTTACCTTTGTCCTGTAAAATATTTTAATATCTTTTAAAAGCCATGCATGGTTTATTTTCCAGTTAAGTCCATCTTTATAGTTTAGCCTTTTTAAAAACTCTGATAACTTGATTAATAATCAAAATAATTGAAAGACTAGTTTATTATTCCAGTATTGTAATCAACAGTGACAGTCCTGTATTGACAGCCCTATATTTGAATCACAACTCTTTCTTTCCTTTTTCTTTTCTCCACAATTTGTCTGATATTCTTTCTAACTTTCCACCATTCGAGACCAGATACTCAGAGAATCAGCTGGAGTTGAATTTGTTAATGAACCCCACTGAACGCAGTGTGAAGCAGTAACTAGAATCCACTGGAATGTCGACTATTGTTTTGTGGCATTTCCGCTAACCCAGCTTTACAGGCCTTATTTGTTATGACTCTGTATCACTGACTCCGGGAGCAGCTTCAGCAGAGCGCACAAAAAAAAACTGAAAGAATATAATCTTTTATGAAAGCATTTCTAGTTTCATGTAAATTCTAAAGTGATATGTGGCCTGTGGCTTGAAGGGGAATTCCACTGATTTTTCAAAAATTGAATTGTTGCAGCGTAAACAAAGTGATTCAGAGTGGTTTGATGCGAAATGGTTCATTGTAGAAAAACTTAGTCGGATTACTTTATAGTGGTGCCGTTAGGAACCAGGGGTCACAATATCTACAACACAAATATAGCCTGATTTCTTTTCTTAGCGGCCGACTTATATTAGCCTGCTTTATTTTTTTCTCCCCAATTTTCTTACCGATTTATTTATGTCCAGTTCCACCCGCAAGACGGGTCTATTCCAGTCACAGGGTACAATTTCATTCATGCCTATTTCTGATTGCAGTACATTTTTTCCACTGTTTTGGAAGAGGCGCCCAACGTCCTTGAATTAATCATTCTTATAAAAGGGTGAATGTACGAAGTTGCAGTAGTTGCCTCAGCAGGCCTTCTAAAACATTTTCTCCCAGTAATTCCTGGCAGTTTCCCCAAGACTAAACAGGAAGTATTGTGACTTATAATGTAAACTATTGCTTTGTTATCATTCATGTTTTTGAAATGGCTGCAGACCCTTTGTGTGTGCTGGAAAGCTGTATTTATGATGAGTTTATGCTGCCTGAATTTTTTTTTGTCTAATTCAAATTAGCTTCATTTTTTCCTCTTCCAACTAATCATGTCGAATTCCACCCGTTAAAATAGGTCTCATCCAGTCAAATGATATAATTCTGATATTGCCTGATTCTGATTACAGTACATGTTAAAAGATAACTGGGATGTATGGTTAACAGGGAAACTTGATTCAGAGAGAGATCTGTTAGTCTTTTAAAATACATTGCTTGGGTTTTATTTAGAATAGGAAACGTTTAAAACTATCTTTTACACGGACTGACTGAAATAGGTGAAGAACCACATTGGCAGACTTTTTGTGTAGGCGTTTTTCATGTAGACATTTTCACTATAAAGTGTTTATGTACCTGTCATAATCAGCGATGTTAAAGATAGTGGTGGAAATGAAAATAATATATAAAGAGAGTTTGGCTTCAAGCATCTTCAGTGGAAAAACACAAAGGCTAGATTGTTCATCGGTAAGATGAGATTCTTGACCTTGCGGCGTCTGCACAGGATCAGTCTCATATTACTGATATTTCACTGAACCCATTTAACACCATGTACCATGATACAGTTACTGAAATTATAGCCAGGGACAAAAATCTCTTAACATGAATGCTTGCCTTTTAAGACTAGCTAGGCTCATTTAGTTTCTTCTTCAAAGCTTCTGTGTAATAAGATTCTCAAAGGTTAGTTTTGAATGCTTTGGATGACTTTCAAGACCTTTCAAGAGGGGTTAACAACTCAAATACGATATAAGCTGTAACTGATCTTGTGCAGTGTCTGAGTGCAAGAGCAAACAAGGAAGAAGGCCATTTTAATTGTGGTCTTCCTAGAGGGAAGCAAGAGTAATATTCTTAGACTTTTGTTTCAGAGAACATTGCACAATGTTGAGGATGTTATTCAACCTTAGCTATTATAACCAGCGTGTCTGTCTCTGTCTTTCTTATCATATTAAATTCCACATAAATCTTTACTGCCCTTGAATCTCTATTGTAAAAATGTCAGTGTTACTTCATGTTAATAATCGGCTGTCACAATTAATCGCTCAACTGAACAGTTGATTCCGAAAAAACAATCAGTTGAAATTTGCCTTTTAATGAATCTTTAGTGATTTGTTGGCAGCTTTTATGATGACAATGCAGTTTTTAATTTGGTGCCGTTTTACGGCATTATCATTTTGCATGCTCTGAAGCTTTCACAGCTAATTTAGAATCAGCTGATTTATTCATGAATATGCATTTTAGGGCGTGACAGTGTTGAGGCTCCAAAATGGGTGCAGGGGCTGTGGAAATGAACAGAGTGGACATTAAGTGATTGGCAAAATTACCTGTTTTTGCTGTTGTTTTTGTTTTCTTTTGTTTATTTTTTTTAAATACATGTTTTTTTTAATGCCAATTAGAAAGAGGTGCAGTTACTTTGAAAATAGACACAGCACTGAATACACACAGCAAGACAGGTTTGTTATTAAAACTCAAGCCTCTCTGTCATCATCTCTTCACTTAAAAGAAACATATAATTTTACTCATTTCTTAGGATCTCCTTCGTTTTCGTCTGTTTAGCAGTTTTTTTTTATTGTTCCTTTCACGTTCACTTTGGACTGCATATTATCTGCTCTTCTCCTGTGGAAACGCATGTAGAGTCTATTTATCAAATTTATTTATAATGTGTGTAAATGGCAAAAAATGTTCAGTGCACTACTGCACTCGTTTCTCCTTTTTAAGAGAATATAAACAACAAAATGTAATCTAGCGCACCAAAATAAACTAAAAGAATATAATCTTTTATGAAAGCATTTCTAGTTTCATGTGAACTCTATAGTGATATGTGACCCTGTGACTTGAAGGGGAATTCCACTGATTTTTCAAAAATTCTAAATATTTAATTGAATTATTGCAGTGTAAACAAGGTCATTCAGAGTGGTTTGATGCAAAGTGGTTCTTCATCAGTGGTAGCTTTTTTTTATGCTTTCATCCTTTTTAAAGAAGTCTGATTACTCAATTAATTGTCAAAATGGTCAAACTACTATTCGCTTACTAAAGTAATTGATAGTGACCACCCCAATAAATAATCATTTGTCACTTTCTTATTTTAGCAGGCAGCCATTGTGTGCCGGTGTGTGAGATCATAGCCGTCCAGGAGACGGAGGAGGACTGTCCGAGTACAGATGTGGGGAAATGGCAGAAAGTCCCTCAAAATCCAGTTGGGTCCAATCAGCACGCTTTCACAGGTAGGCAAGTGCGCATACCTGCATGCTTTACAGGGGGCATTAAAGTATGCTTGTACTGTTATCTGATAGTGGAATATACCCAGACTCGTGTTCATGTGTATCTGAACAAGAGTATAGAGATTGGGTGAAAGATAGAAAGAGATACGAGTCACCTTTTACCCAGTTTCTAGAGTCTGTACAGTTTGAATGTAATTGTATTACCTTCTTTGACCTTCTCGCTGTAGTGTCCTATGTGGAGAGGACTCTGAAGCACCGCTGGCGGTGCAGTGAAGTCACCCTCCATTGCCCTGATAGGAAGCTGTGTCTGCAGTGGGTCCAAGCCATCAGGGAGCAACTTGCGCTATTGAGTATGTCCTTAAATCATTTTTTTTTTTCTGGACCTAGCATAATATGTATGTGTACCACAATGTTAATGGTTACATTTGCATGTGGATTCTTTTTGTTTGTCATTTTGCAGATCCAATACATATGTATTCATCGCTCTATAATGACTCTTTTCCATTCAGTCTGACCAAATGAAGTACCTTATTAGGAATGCATCGATACCATCTTTTTAAGTACAATGTACACTTTTTGAATTTACATCTAGTTGGAGTCTTTTGATTGTCCGGTTGTGCTATAGTTAAAGGTTATCTAAAGTCACTGGGCAATTTTAGAAATCTTGCTCATTGTTGACAACTCACCATATGTTTAAATAGACCATCACATACAGACAAAAACTGTGGTTGATTTATATACATACACTGTACGAAAGCACTCGTTCCTATTGACCTGCTACGACGTGGGTGCTCGCACATTGCACATGAAACACAGCTCTTACAGACAGCTCTGTCTATGGACAATTTCTGATGAAGTTGTTTCATTAAAAGCAACACGCTGCATACTTAAATATTGAGCAAACATGCTGAGAAACTGTGCTACAGCGGCTTTGTACCCCACTGTGCACTCAAACTAAAAGCAAGCGGAGATGTACATGAGTACATCTACAGCCTATTTTACAAAGACGGTTTCAAAAATCAGCATATTAATGTTTAGACCTTGCAATTCTGTTCAGTTACACAGAGTAAATTCAACATATACCGACTTTGGCCCCACAAATGTCGACTTTTTTGCCTCCATTTTGTCAGCCTATATGTGTTCATCCATATTAGGGAAGGGGGCTAAAATCCCACAGTGTATACCTGGCAGGAATATAATACCAAGGCCGAATATTTAATGTGACCAACAATTTTCTGTCTGACTGCCATGGTGTCAGCAACACTTTGCTGTGCAAGCAGGCCCTCGTTCACTGCCAACTTGAGTCATCTGTTCATTAGCATGGTAGCGTACGCTAGGCTCATGGTATCAGGTGGTGTTGAATGTTGGAATTGTTGCATTTTTTATGAGTACAAGTAAAAGCACAGTACTGGATGGACACACAATGGCAGAATCCGTATTGATGCATCCCTACTTTAAATACTTTCATTATATTTAACGTGTTAAGCCGGCTTCTAATTCTTGCTGTTTATTCAGGGACTAGATGTCAACTTTGTCTGGACAACTGGCTTGGAGTGTCCTATTACATTTTTGGGGGTTTTATTTAAGCTTGTCACATTTTGATAAAGTTTGTTTGTTAATGAAAACTTCATGGAGTTGTTGTCAAACTGAAGATGCTGTTGTTCAACAAATTGAACCTGTTGGTTAATGACCATCCCTGACTCCCCCTTTCTTATTTGCAGCTATCCGACCGAAGCATTTGCTGGTCTACATAAATCCCTATGGAGGAAAACAACGCGGGAAGAGGATTTACGAGCAGAAAGTGGCCCCAATCTTTTCCCGCTCCTCCATCTCCACCGATGTGATTGGTGAGCGCACATCAGCCGCCTACATTAACATTTAAATAAAAAATGAGCATTCATGCTCTGCAAACAGATCTTTGTTGGCAAATGGCCCTGCCTGCCAAACATGCCCAAGGATATGATTTTATTTACAGGTCTGTATATCACTGAAGCTGCTGATAATTGGTGCTCTGATAGTCAATAAACATGGAATGCTTATTCATCAGGGTTTTTTTGGTAGGGGGAGGGGGAATCTAGATCAAAGTGGATTATTGGCAACACATAAATCTCATATAACAACATAAGAGCCAAGGCTTATTCAGCAATGGCTTATGGGTGTCTTTTTTATCACCATGCTGGCATTTAAAGAATGGTAAACCACATGTGTGCCTGGACAAATACCATTCAAACAAAATCGTTAGAGAAAGCAAGCAAGCTGCCTGGCAGACTCTTTAATAAGCTCCATATATCTCCTTTGGCGTATATCGTCATCATCGTCTGCAAGAGGCCTTCTGCTAGCCATCCATTTCAAGGACACCCCAGTACGTTACAATCTCTTGTCAGTCCTGACAGGCTAGGCCTTGTAATGAAATGTGCTCGAGAATGTTTTTAGCTGTGGCTTCAACTTTATCATCTGTAGCATGATCGATTGTCTCCATCAAACCACTAGCGAAATAGCAATTTAACTAGCAGATGAAGATAATGATGTTTTTCTCCTGACGCTCAGCCTCCCAGCCCACATCAGCATGCACGGTTACGATGACTTTGCCTTTGTTTCCATAGTTACGGAGCGCGCAAATCATGCCAGGGACCACTTGAAGACGGAGGCTGATCTGAAGAAGTATGATGGGTGAGTTGGAGTTAGCGGAGATCACAGTAGGCATGCGGCTGCTCTTTAATTTGCTCAGCGAGGAATTCGCCCCTCTGCAGCAAAGACTAGATTAACATTTCAGTGCGCATCAGTCCATTGGCACTGCGACTCTGGTTGGCAGCATAGGAAACTGCTGTGGAGAGTAAAATGAGCTTTGATGACGACCACATGGTATGTGCATCGAAGTGAGACCGGGAGCCAAGAACAACTGTTTCTGGATCAGGGCTTTTATTTAGGCGGATCGCAAGACAGCAGGGAATACTCCAGAGAAAACTGGCCCTAGACCAGTGCTTTTATAACGTGACCCTAGAGCAACACTGATTTTCCGTGATATTTAGTGGAATACAAGGCAAGAATTAAGAGTCCTCTCTCTAGGAAAGTTTACCTGTTCCAGGGAGTAGCTTTTTTTTAAGCCCCACATGTTACTATAGAGGTACCTAACTCTGGTTATGGAGAGCTGCAAACCTGCACAGTGTAGTTATTTCCATGGTGATAAAGCACCCAATTCAAGCCCTCTGTAAATTATTTTTTCAATACACAACAGATGCCTATTCAGTACTAGATATCGTCATTGGGCTGATATCAGCAGAAAATGCTGTATTTTATATAAAAGGGGAAAATAATGTCTGATCCAATCCTGTAACAAATCTAACCTGAAATAACACACACCCTCACTGCGTGATTTTGTTAGCTGTGTGTTTGGTCCTGTGGGCTAGTAGGGTGTTTGAGTAATTTGAGCGCCATGGACTACTTTTAGATGCTCATCTTAAAAGAAGTGCTTCGGTTGAAAATAGCTCATTGTAAAGTTTAATAGTCTAAAAGAAGAAATATTGAATTGGGATCAGGCGATTCTCAGGGTTTTAATACCAATATTGGTTTTGGAAAAGAAAAAGTGATATTGTGCCATCACAGTTTAGACCTGATTACAGATTACAGTTAAATATAACTATAAATATAAATAATTACAAAAAGTTTTAGGAGATGTGTAAAGTCACCATAAGTTACCAAATGTCAGAAAAAAAAAATTCCAACTGGCCGTCTTGGATGTGCTTAATACTTTAAACAAAAAAGTGGCATTGTGCCTAGTGAATAGTTTTTTTCTTTAAATAGCCCATATCCTATTTTTTTTTCTTGTGGTTTATTTTTGTTCCCTGAGATTCACCTGCAATGTTTGTGTGGGTTTGTTTACCAAAAACAGCCCTTATTAATTTTTGCATTACCATTTTTCAACCTCTCTATCCCATACAGTTAAACAGACTGTTTCTTTTAATGTTCCTTTAAGACTGATGTTTGTGAATGATGTCCGTTCTGATTGACTGCCCTGCATTGCACCTCATTCAAAAAGCAGTCCAGACTGAAACCCTTGCTGTAATTGTATGTACGTTAATGGGTGGGGCTGAACTGCTGTACGCTGTATAGATGGATATATTTAAATGAGTATTTTTCGTGACATCAGAAAAACAGTGAATTCAAAACGGGCTGTTTTTGCAGCTTAGTGTCCATATATGGACTGTATGGGCTGAGGAGTGAATTGTACGTTTTGAAACTTTAACAGTGTTCACACACTACATCAAACTTATTTCAAATAACTGAGAAACATTCAGTTTTCTATAATATAGGCCCTGGAAAGTGAGCTCTGTGGGGGGAAAATGCGCTAACTTGTGAATGTGTTGATGCTAGATGCTTGAAATGAAAATTGCAGGGATTGTTCTTTGGCTTAAAGGGTGCTTAACTACCAAAAAAGAGGTATAGAGATACAGAGAGCTCTTTGTTGATGTCGTATGGATTGACCCAAGTATGTTGGAGCATGAACTATCCCGTCTACACTAAGCTAACTGGGACCGTGTGATTGTTAGGGTGGTTTGTGTTGGTGGAGATGGCATGTTCAGTGAAATCATGCATGGCCTGATCTCCCGGACGCAGTGCGACTCCGGTGTGGACCAGAACTGCGCAGATGAGACGCTGATACCTTGCGGACTGCGTATCGGCATCATTCCTGCAGGTGAGCTCGCCACACTCACAGATTTAGTTTAGAAGTTGAAGCAGGGGAAAAAAAAGTATCTGCAGACACCAGCTCTTTCATTTTTCTTGTTTTTCCTGTTAGTCAACTACAGAGAAACCTCCTCTGACAGCATGCCTGTGAGGCCCGAAGTATCCATCACTTGCGATTCCATTACAGACCACATGCTGTGTGACATTTTCCAAATCATCATAAATTCCACAGCTGTGACGTGCATTACCCAGCCAGGGCCTGGCTGCATGCTGGCAAATGATCAGAGGAGATTACAGTTGTGCTTGGCTCTCCAGAGAACAGCCTCTTGTCTATACACTACAAACAGAAATGCACTCTGTCTAGTTACAGTCATATCTTGCTTGAAATGTTGAGTGATTACAGCAAAACTATCGATTTTGGCTTCCTACTGGAAAGGGAAGGAGGTAAAAGAGGACAATTGTTCATGTTGTTCTTGGTTTTCTGCCGTTTTTTTGTTTCTTTTTCTTGTTTTAGCAAATCCTTAAAGTCTTTTGAATTTTTTTGAGGTCATAGATATCTTATTTTTTTTCTTGTAGAGGTATTATATTCTAACATGACTGACAAAGACCGTTTTGAAGAGAGTCATTATATAAGCCCTGTGCTCAGAAACTGACTAGTGATAAAAAGCTAGAGACTAGCAGAGCTGATAAAGTCTAACACACAAAGCACTATGCCAGGATCATGAAATCTCAAAGCAGTTTGTGTTTTCAATCAGTCTATTTGAATAAAATGATATATGCCATATTTGAGTTTGTTTGTATAGTCATGCATTGGAAATGGCTGTTTATTTAACATATTGGGGAAAGAAATGTAAGTCTTTTACAGGAAACCTGTAAGAGGCTTACATTTCTTTCCCCAATACATTTCACTTAGAAAACCAACAAAGCATTTAATTTGACTGGGTGTTCAAACTTTTGCATATGACTATGCATCATAAAGAAAGTTATTACTCCTAACACTAACATAAACTTATTAGCCTGTAGCTAACTACACTCAATTTCATGGAGGAGTCATAATTCACAGCTCAGATTTTCTGCTTCCACGTTACATCAGACACAGCATTAAAAAGGGTTTAAATTTGCTTTTAAAATTGTGCAGCAACCATGTTTTCACTATGGCTGATTAGAGCAGATCTCAGCACATTAGTCTTGCAGTTTAATGTTCATACTGATGATTTAGTAATGATTGAAACAAGTCCATGAACAAAAAGGAAGCATTAAGTCCAATGGAGCGCCTTTCTCCATACAGTAGAAATTTGGCCACAGTAAATTACTGCACCTAATGGTCCACAGCTTATCAAATTATGTTTTAAGATTTCAGGTTGCAATAGCAACAAGGCAGTGCTAAGCCCTTTATAGGGTTTATTAAGTCCCCACTTCTTATCATCAACCTTATCAGCATGTACTCTACAGTTTTTCCCACTTGGCACCTTATCTCCAGTTGTACAGACACATGAGCCAAAATGAACACTGGCTCCAGGGCTGTTCCTTGTCATGCTTCTTTTTCCTTTCATTATTACATAAAGTACTTGGAGTAGATGCTGGAAAAAAAGTTAGTGAGGGAGAACTTGAAACATATAGTTAAGCATCAAATCTGTCTTTGTTGATCTGTTTGGATGGTTTTATCAGCAACAATTGTGACCATAACTCAGACAAAAAGACCTTTCTTTTGTTTGTTCATTTATTCATTTAAAGGCAGAATAGTGGAATGCAGAAATAGACCACTAGGTGGGCTTTACAGATGGCGCTAGCTCTGTGCTTATTTCTACCCGCACTGGGCTTTATATAAGTAATTTGAGGCGGAAGAATTTGATTACGAAGCAGTGCGCAGTAGGACGAGAGAAGGAGGAACTCATCTGAAATCTCATCTCTGAAAATGGCAGAGCCACACTGCTAAAAGTGCTCTCCTGCATGCCTCTGTGAGTCAGCTAAAATGTTTTCAGCGCAAAAAGTTATTTTTTGCTCACACAGAAGTGGGTCGACAAAAAAATCCCATTCGCTTCTAATATTGGGTTAAAATTTGTTTTGATTGCGGGTTCAATTGTTGTGGTTTCTCGACTGCACAGGCCCAATTTGAGAGAGAAAGTCTGATCTTCATATTTTAACTCTCCATTTATGAAGCTGGATATTTAAATTTGAATCCCTGAGCTGTGAAATCTGTCTGTGAAACAGGTTCGACTGACTGCATATGCTACGCTACGGTAGGCTGCAACGACCCTGTGACCTCAGCTCTGCACATCGTGGTGGGTGAGTAGGCATATATGCACCATCCTCAACACAACATGTTCTACGGATCTGTCATTCGTCACTTTCTTTTCTGAAACCACATTGCATGTGCATTGCCCCATGCTCTATTAATAGATGAACAATGACTGTTTCTTTTGTGTCATTGCTGAGTATGGAACAGTTGAGGTGTAACCTACAAAACTGGACTAGGCCACATACCATGCACTAATGCCCATACTTACCATAGGTAAAGTTGAAGGTTGGGAGACAACATTGCTGTCAAGTAATGTCATTCATGCTTTGTTGCCCAGCAACACTCAGTAGTACAAAAACAAAAGCAATGTTCACAAAGCAATCCAGCTGAAGTGTTTGGAGGCAAGTTCTCATACAGTGTGTACCGGCTTTCAAAAAGCTTTAACACAGACCAAATGATGACATTAGCCACTGTCATGTTTACAAACATTCCCCCTGGTGTTATTCTCAAGAATGGTTGTTCTTCACCACTGTTGCATGTAGATGTTGCTTCAAAATGTCGTGCTGTTCTCTTCGTGCTAGCATTCAGTAATTTTGAATCATTTGTCATGTTAATTAGTTTTATTTCATATACAATAACAACTTGTAAACTGTTGAACACTGTGGATGTAAATATTATAAACTATGCACCAAATGGTATTTTAGATGCTTTGTTCAGTGTTTTAAGTAGGACAATCACAATTTTAAAAATCAGTTAAAACTCATGTTCTTGATGAATCAGCCTAATGATTAGTTCACAGTTATGTTTTCATCCAAAGAATTTTTTATGAAAAATGTTTTAATGCTTCAAAAATTTGCTAATGTTGGCTGAAATGTTGCAAAAACATTTGCAAGTAGAGTCATATGCAAGAGTGAAAATAACACGTTCTCTGTATGGAACAAAATTTTCTGCAAATTCTGCTATTTATGTGCGTTGTTCTATTTGTTTGTTTAACATATTGGAAAAAAATAAAACATAACATTTGCAGCAGCATTTTACAATTTCTTCAAATATGTTAAATTCTGCAAATAAACATTAAATATGCAGAAGTGTGTTCTCCGTAGAGAATATGTTCACTTATATTTGCACTTAGAACATCAGCAAAACGTCATTTGGTCGGGTGGCCAATTTATTTGCAAATGTCTGTACATCGCATTGGAAATGTGTTTTTTTTGTTTGTGTTTTGTTTTTTGAAGGGCAAAAGTACTGCATGTACGCACAAATTTAATGTAATGTAACATATTTACCTCTTAAAAGAAACAAACACACAACATAGCAGAATTAGACTGAGGAGGAGACGAGACAATATTTACTTGTCAGTACATTATGGGGAAGCTAGGGAAGCCAAAGGTTGCAACATAGATTAAACTAGAGGTAGAAACATGTCAGACAACTTTTTTTTTTATTTTTTTTATTTTTTTTTTTTGGGTAAAGTATTTTGGAATCTTTGAAAGGCTCTGCTCAGCATGTAATTTGTTTTTGCTTGGTTAAACCCATTTTTGTGTAGCCTCAAAACAAAAAACAAACACACACTCATTACTTAATGAATCTTGTAAATCATTATTATATAATCATTACTGACATCTTCGATGTCAAGTATTTTGAGAAGAGCAAGAACTTAATAAATGATAACTATATAGTACATTTCTACTTGCAAGCATTTTTGTTAACTTATCTGCCTCTGTTGGATCAACACATGAAATGTGAGGCATTCTGAGAGTTAATTTTATTATAACTTTATTCTCAGTGTTATGCAGCTTTGTGATTCTGGACACCAGATTTTCTTTTTTTGAAATCTGTGAAGCTGTACAGCATTAGGGTCATATTAGAATCATTTTATACATGTGTCTGCAGACAAATTGGATTTGGGTTTTGTATTATGGAAAACATTGGTTCCTTTTGAACTGTAGCGTAAGGCTCTCTCTGCCTTTCAACAGGTGATTCCCAGCCACTGGACGTTTGTTCCGTCCACCACAATAACGCCTTCCTGCGATACTCTGTCTCGCTGCTCGGTTATGGTTTCTATGGCGATATGTTGATGGACAGCGAGAGGAAGCGCTGGATGGGTCCTGCTCGCTACGATATCTCAGGTCAGTGAGACCTCCCCCCAGTTCACTCAATCAACAGACTGAAGGGGACGAAAAAGCTACAATTCTTGTTCATTCTTTCCTTCACTGTCATTTTCACCGAGACCCTGATGTATTGTGGCAGGTGTTAAAACGTTTCTGTCGCATCGCTACTATGAAGGAACCATCTCCTTCCTTCCTGCTGATGGAAGTGTCGGAACTCCCAGAGACAAGATTCAGTGTCGATCCGGGTGAGAGCTGCAGCTGCTTGTTTACACTGAGTAATTTACAACGTTCATCAGCTATGTTCAGTGTGGAAAGGCCTAATGTTGGCTAATGGTAGTGTAAAAATGAATTGATCTGAAGGTGACAGTCCCATTGCATTGATTTTGGAATGGTAGAATCAATTAAAATTAGTTATAATATTCAATAATTTATACACTTCCTTTTTCTCAGGCTCTTTTCAAATGTAACAATCAAAAAGTAAGCTTAGTGTATTGTTTTTATTGTCTATAGTCCAAGACTATAGTTCTTCCAGTCACATTTATGTAGTCAGTATATTTTTTTAAAAATAATGACATCAAAATAATTGAATCGTAGTGAAAGTTGAGATTTTATGTATTAAACTGTAATTGAAACACATCATAGAGGTCTGAGATTTAGATGAAGTCCATTTTATGGACTTCATCTTCCATTCAGTCAATTCATCACATTTAAGTAGACTCTTCAGTTACAGATGTGCTGAACTTGACTCTGTTTTGTTGTTGTCTTTGATGCCAGATTTAATGTCTAATGCCTTTTGTTGTTAGGTGTAATATATGCCAGCTGCCATCAGCGGACAAAGCGGTCTACAAAGTTGAGGACAGCATCTCGGACACTGGTGAGGAACCATGGCCCACTGCAACAACCTCTTCTAAAGCTTAAGGCTTAAAGTGATGCTTTGGCCAAAATCTAATTTACATAATCTTCTCTTACTCAAATCTAGTGATTCATCCAAGACGTTTACTATTAGATAACAGCATGCCATACAGTGTCAGAAACCACATAAGCTAGTCTCTTTGAGATTGATAAACAACTAGGCATGGTTTGAGGTAAGAGTGTGATAATTTAAGCATGTAGTTTGCACAATGCTAACTGCTAGCTATAAGCTTCCATTAGTTGTTAGCAAGAGTGTGTCCAGGAGTAGGGCCACAGGGCCCTAGTCAATATCTGACTGATTGGTCTTTTAAGTGCGCTTCTCTTGTCACTCACCACATTCAGGCATGTCATTTATATGGTAGTTGTGAAACGACCAGCCATATGATTAGATGTTACACCACATCTGCAACAGAATGAAAACCACTGAATAATACAGTGGGATCCAAAAGTCTTGAGACCACTGTTAAAATGCTTCTAATTTGCATTCTTTTCTAATTTAATACAGGTTTTCATTACATGATTCATTTCATTGCATTTCATTACTTTTCAGCAGAACAAATGTGAGTGTTTTTTGAGACATTTACATTTCAGCCACCGCATGCACTTGTCCTGGTGTGTTTGTCCACAAGTTAAAAACCCTCTAGTGAGTAGCTCAAATCCACCAAGAGTCATCTTAAACATGAGCTTCAAAGGAAGAAGTATGACTAAAAAAATCTGACTTATTGTACAAAAGACTCAACATGTTTGAGTTTACTTGAGTGTGAATAGTGTCCTAGAGGTAATGCAGAATTTTTATTGTTTCTTCTTCTACTTGTCATAACTTTTTCTTAGTTTTGCTTTATTCCAAATTCTACAGCCATGTTGTTCATTTCCAGATTTTCAATGTGGTCTCAGACTTTAGGATCTTGTTATACTGTGTATGGAACCGGCTATTTCAGTAGGGGTTCTTGATGTTTAACAGATAAAAATGTTCTCTTTATAACAAATATATATAGAGATATTTGAGATCATTATGGTGCTTTGAAGTTGAAGGCTTCTATCTGACCCCTAAACGGGAACTGTGGCTCCATTATGGCCCTATCAAAACAAGCATCAGAGAATCACCACTGCTTGTTAGCTTCATTAGCCTTGTAGATCCAGTGCAAAACGTCTCTTGGCTGATGGACTGATTTGGGGTAAGGGGGGGGTTGAGTTTAAGTGAAAATTTGATTTTTGTCCAAATTACCGCTTTACTGAGCATGTAGAGAGAATACGGGTTCCTCATTTTCTGGGTATTACAACCTGTGGTGGGAGACAAAACATATTCTCCAGTGATGTGAAAATGTCCTCCATCTGTGCCTGTTCCGGCCAGACTGTTTGTTAAAATGAGGCCATATAATTTGACCTGCCCCTGTTCCGATCTTTCATGTACATGTCCACACAAACTTCTTTTTGCGCATTATCTCCATTTCTCAGTGCTCAACAGCAGGCGCCTCCATTACATACTGACCCGTCTGTTTACAGTGACTCACTGATAAGTGCTGTTTACAGAGACCTCCAGGTCCCTAATTGGCATTTAGACATGATAATTTCCTGGGCATTTTCTCAAGACTGGTCAGACTCTGTAGCAGAGGCAAAGCAATAGAAAGGAGGGAGGTGTGCGTATGTGTGAGTGTTGGGAGAGTTAAGTGTCCTTAATTAGCAATCTAGTATCACAGCCATACATGGCACGCACTTTCCATTTCATCTCGCTTTTAGAGTGGAACTCTACAGCAACTGCTTTGGCACAGGGGAGAGGTGCTGATTCTGTGCTAATGAGCTTCCTAGAAAGAGAAATGTGCCTTTTGAAAGGCTGCAAATGAACACAAGCCAAAGGTCTCTTTTGTCATTTTGTATATTTAAGTGTCTACTCAGTGATTTCCAATTAAAATGTATTGGCTTTTGCCATCTCCGGAGACATGCTAACATTGGCAAATCTCTCCTGTGTTTATGACTCAGAACAATAGGGGACCTAATTATGCATTTTATGACTGCAGATCAACACAGCAGTCTTTTTGAATGGTGTTCATTAAAAAGATATTTCTTGCTTGGTCACATACAATCAACACATTCGACTTAATGTGCAAGATTCATCACGGAGGGGCTTTAATGCATCCTCAGAGAGGCTTTCGGGGTCCACGAGGCCAGATTGAAACAATCCATGACACTTTGGGTTTAATAAAAGCTGATATCATTCTAAATAAGTGGTCAGTAAAAAGCAACTGAAAAGCGTAAGCTTCTGTTACGACAGTGCTAAACTGTGTGATTTTGCTGTTTTGTGTTACAGAGAATAAGGATGTATGGCAGGTAATCAGGGGGAAGTTTCTGGCCATCAATGCTGCATGCATGAGCTGTGCTTGTCCACGCAGTCCCAAAGGCCTGTCACCGTCCGCACACCTGGCTAACGGCACTGCTGACCTCATCCTGGTGCGCAAGTGCTCACGCTTGGACTTCCTTCGCCACCTGCTGCGCCACACCAACAAAAACGACCAGGTGCGTATTTTAATGGTGTTATATTGTGGCTATGCATTTCTCTTTGAGAGAAAACGTGACTGAAGGAGGAGACGTTCAGAAGGTGCCTTTTTAAATGCGTAAACAGAGGCGGAGCGACGGTGAGTTGAGAGAACACGAAAGCAATCGATAAACATTTTGAAACTGACTTGATGATAAATAAAAAACTCTTCATGTTCAGATTGTGTCAATCAAACTAGTCAAGTGTTACACAGCTCCAGTTGTTCAAAACAGCCAAAAGTGTTTTTTTTCTATATGTTGGATGAGTGACTGATTATGATATGTGGTGCACTTTGTGGGTGCTCAGCTTAAAAGTTGTTGTTTTTTCAGCTTAAGTGCATGGTTTAAAATGTGCATGGGTACTTGAGTATTCACTTAACTGTTCAAGGTGGCAGTATTCAAGTGCTTGAAATCACTATTTGGGTATTTGTTATGTTCCCTCACATTAAGACGGAGGACAGGATTATGTTTTATGTTTCAACAGTATTGCTAGTATTTTTACTAAACTTTGCTACTACAAAACACAAGTGCCTGAAAGCAAGTGTGTTGCCAAGGACACATTGGTAAAGATGTGACTGAGAAGGCAGAGATTGCACAGCTGGCTCTGGCATGGCTTTTTTGTTACTTAGGATAACTAGCTGATGTTAGCTAAGTTCAGAAACAGTGAAAATATACATTTCTCTGAGTAAGTAACACGTTCGCACATCATCATGTTTAAGATGAAGAGAAAAGACCACGGATAGAAGACAATGAGTCCTTATCAGCAAACAGCAGTAAGTGTTAGCTCACTAGTTCATCTGAAGGGAAGGCTTACTTATCCAAAACAAAAACCCTACAGATTTCCCTTGACATTTTTGAACAATAAAACATATTTTTCAAATTCTAACCTCCAGTTCTAGTAACCCTAAAATATAAAATATGTAAAGCTTTTATGATCATTTTGGCCAAATTCTCTCTCTCTCTCTCTCTCTCTCTCTCTCTCTCTCTCTCTCTCTCTCTCTCTCTCTCTCTCTCTTTGTTGTTCCCTACAGTTAACCGGATGTGTGTTATTAACTCTTCGAATATCTAAAGTCAGAATGCATGTCCATATTACGAACGTGATGTGCTTTGTGCAGGGTAAAGGAGTGTTTTTCTGTCATGGTGTGCATTGCTCCTTAGACAACAGTCAACACTGCGTGCTTGAGAGAGAGTTTGAAAAGGTGCCGTCTGGACGCCCCCTCACAGTACAGATTATTGTCCACATTCCACTACTGTGTGAATAGTTCCTCCAGTCACATTTGCGTATTCAGTGGGTCTTTAAACATCATTTTGAATCATCCCATAATAATGGAATCAAATTGTGATCAAATCATTAAAGTCAGATATTTACACCCTAGTCATTTATATTCTTTTTTCAACAGTTGAGAGGTTTTACTAAACCTCACTAAAGAAATCTGCATTCATTCATTATCAACATTAATATTTCACTTTGTGAAATTAATGGTTGTAGGATTTCACTGTCACATGCATATAATAGATAACATGATCCGTTCAGTCATTGTCTATTGTCTGTTGTTTTGCGTTGTATATTGCTCTCACTTTAAATCCAGAAAGTATCTCTCTCACTGCCAAGGAGCAGTTTAGGTTCAGTAAGCCTCAAATATGACTAGATGAATGTCCATAGTTTTTTCTTCATCAGATTTATAAGCCATAAAACTAACACAGCAGAAATATTAGATTTATCTTGAGGGTAATGGAGGGAAACTATCCATCCCTGCCCTGTATGGGGAGTCTAGAGGCTTATCCTACTTCTTTTTTGTCAGGGAGGTCTCTCTCCTGGGTGTTTTGTGTCCTAAATGACTCACCTTACCCAGAAAAAAGAGAAACCTAATCTCACTAGATAGACACAGCTGATTGTTAGGCAGAATTTATTTGGGTTTGTGCTGGTGGCATTCCCACGCTCCACAAAGCTTTCAGCCGCATTAGAGAGAAGCCCACAGCCTCTTTACACTCATTTCCACTGTTAGCACTCAAACACACAGTGCACAGCCCTGAGCTCTTGTTTTTGTCTATTTGTTGAGACAGGTCTGGGGCTAATAATTACAGTGCCATTTTCTGTGCCTAATCAAATCCAGGTACTTCATTTGGTGCCAGTAGTGTACCTCTTGATTACAGAGTGTTGTACCCTGCAAAGCTTGCTTGAAAATGCTTAAATCATCCTACTTTCTGGCCAGATCTGACATTTTCAGGGCCAAGAATCAGTGTTACTTACCTCATTTTATTTGCTAAACATCACAGTTGTGTATGTTTTGCCAGAGCCAGTTCTGACAGTTGAAACATGCCTATGAACTGCTGTTACCCCAAACAAGCTGACATCCGAATAGGCCTAAGCTTGAGCAAGAAAGATGAAGAGACTCTTTTAAATTTTTCAAAGACTGAAATTTCCATTTTAAGAGACAAAATACATTTACTGTTACATTTATAAATCAACGGCACACAATTTTCAGCCTAACCTAACAGACATAATTTCTACTTCAAGGTAGCTTCTATTACTGATTTTAGCCACAGTTGTAGGCAAAACCTACCCCTAATTAAATGTTTTGCTGATTTTCTAAGTGAAAATAAGTTAACACATCCTCCACTTAAATATGACATTATTTTCTGCTAATTTTAGTTCCCAATTTATATCTATCTCCTGAGTTTAACATATTGGAAAAAACATACTATATAAAATCTGTATCTTATGTTTTTTTTTTCTTCTAATATGTTACATTCAGCAAATAAACAGTAACTATGCATTAAAATGTGCTCTCTGTAGAGGACGTGTTAAGCCCAAATCTTTGCGTATGACTGGATATTGAGGTATATTTGTCCATTGTTACAGAATGACAGTAATGACAAAATATAGTATGACAAAATAGGCCAAATATAAAATGTGCATGATGTTTACTGTCCACTTTTGCACTAGAGCTACAAGTCTGTGAGCTGGACAGATTTGCTAAGCTAAAAATAGTCATCCTGAACCCTGATTTTTGTCCATTTTTATAGATAACAGGTCTGTTTGAGATTACTTAGCAACTCAACTTGATTTAAAGGTGTGATGACTAAAGCATGCAGCTTGCACACTGCTAATTACTGGGCTATAAACTTTGTGTTTGATTACTTGTTACTTACAGTAGCCTTGTAGCTCCAGTGCAAAACTAAAGAAGCAAAATTCAGACACCAAACATGTGTTGGCTGATAGGCTACATTTTGGGTAAAGTACAAATAATGTGTAAATTTTTCTGCAAAGTATAGTTTTAAATGTGGAAGATGCTAAAAGAAAGTCATGTAAATTCATAAAAGACAATTTAGAATAAAATGCTTTCTCAAAAACACATAGAACAGGGCAAAGAGCAGTGGTACCAAATCTGTGACGCAACCCCTCACATCCCCCTCTGTGTATGTATGTGTGTGCATCTCTGTTGCAGTTTGACCACCCATTTGTGGAGGTGCACCGGGTGCGACAGTTCCGCTTCACGCCCAGGTATCAAGAGACAGACTCCGAGCTTGAGCTGAGGGAAGCAGAGGGCAGTGGCAGTAAGCGCTTCTTCACACAAATATGCAGGGAGCATCAGGCGTGCAGCTGTGCCCCAACACACAGCAGCTGGAACTGCGATGGGGAAATCTTGCCACATGGCGCCATTCAAGTCAGGTAACCAACCCACTGATGTCACACTCACTCAGAGTATAGGAGTCATAGTATATCAGTATGACACAATCGCCACAGAGCAGTGTGTTTACTGTTTATACTGTCCATCTAAAGGTTGAAGACACTTAACTCTTATGTTTCTAATACAAATTAGAGGGTTTTTTTGAGTTTGCAATAGTGTTACATATTAAAAAGTAACCATGTGTTGTAAATACTTGCTAAAAGTTTGTGACAGTAATAGCTTGTGAATAATGCCAAAGCCCACCCATTTTATCCCCGTGTTGTGATGCCAGCACTCAAACTTTTCTGTTGTTTTAACCACTTTTGGGTCAAAAGAGTTTATATATGTGCTTTTAACAATAGTTTGTAAAAGAAAGGTGTTTAGGCAGTAATAAGCTCACATTGCTTCAAGCCATGATTCCAGTGACATAGTGTACAAGGAGAATGGAAGTGGACTAAGAACTGACCCATGGGGAACTCCAGTAGTGAGGTAGTGCAGAGCTGAGAGAGAGCCGTTCCATGCTCACTAAGAATCATATCTGAAGACACAGGAAGTCACTTTGAAGAACATGATGCTGAGTCTTGAAATCAAATGTACCCAAACGATTGGCACATAGCTATTTTATGTGAACAAAAGCTTTGCCAATATTTTTTTCTTACTTAATTAAAACATAATTCATGTGAAAGAAGGCAAGATATCTTGAAACTGTTGGCAGGCAGTGTTTTTTTTTTTATTAATTTATTATAGTAAAAAAACAACAACCCAAGTGCACTCTTGTAGCTCATATTCAGTAAATCACTGAGTTGGGACCACCGCTTTCAGTGGAATATTAAAACAGGGCTTGTGTCTGTTGAGAGAGTACGCTTGGCCCCTGCTCCATGAAAAATCCCTTTATGTTCCTGCAAGAGAGTGGGCCTCTCATATCGCAGGGAAATCTTTATGTAGCATGATGGCTGTCCTGAATGCATCATTTATTTCACGCTCCATTCTTCCCAGTGTCAATGATGCATAGCTGTCTAATGTCCTCTAATGTAATGGTCTTTCCACTGTTAAAAGCTTACTCCCTTTTAATTAAAATAGGGGTCCATTCATTTATTACATTTTCCTCTCCAGTAATTGTTCTTCAAGCGAGTCAGCAAATGAACTGTGGAGACAGATGACGATGATGATAAGGCGGCTGATAGAGAGGGATAGGCGGCCGGATTAAGTCGCACCTGAATGCTAAGCACACTGCATCCAGCGGAGTTATAGGAAATTAGAGTCTAAATCCTCTAAAAAGAAGTTGCAGTGACTATAATGAACTTTACACAGAGGCTTGTCTGGCATTCAATGGCTTAATCTATTTTAACTATTCATTCATCTAATCAGTCTGTTTAAACTAAATATCCTGATGCCAAGTGCTAGGCTTGATGGACAGTTCTTTTCTCTCTCTCTCTCTCTCTCTCTCTCTCTCTCTCCAGAGTGCACTGCCAGTTGATCAAGCTGTTTGCGAGAGGGATCGAAGAGCAGTCCGTCTTTGAGGACCCTTCTTACGCTCTCTGTGCAATATAGATCTGTCTGTCAAAATCACTGGAAAAAACCCGCTCTCGCTGGACCATGAAGAATTCTAACCTCTTGAAGTCACATTTGGGTTAGGGTTAAGAAGATGCTGTTCCATATGCTGTTGGATCCATTTGTAGTGACTAGAATTGGAAGTGAGCTCTTAAAGGGGAATTCCACAAAATTTAGTCGTTAAGATGTGAAGTCATTCAGAGTGGTTTGATGCAAAATGCAGCATTCTGTAAAAAACGTACCAAGTCAGAATTGTTTACAGTAGTGGTGATAGGAACCAGACATCTGAAGCTACCTCACAGGAAGCTATTACATGAAATGATTACAAATATGTTGCCTGATGGCTTTTGCACTTCTGTCTACTTAATCATTGTCGACATGAGGGATGTGCATTCGCACTAATTTTGATATTTGAGTGTATGCAGTTAAAAAAAAAGAGATATCTGGTTAACCAAGGCTAAGGGGACAAATAAAAAGTACTTTTTCTGAAATTAACAAAGGGCTGGAGGTGGAGGCTTACACTTTAAGGTAATAGCACTGGTGTTAAGAGGCTTAAAAAATTTAGTATCACAAAATATTTGTAGCAAAAGTAAATATGTTCAAAAAAGCCTACAAAAATCAGATTTCAGTGTTGGATGAAATTTCAGTGTTGGATGAAATGGAGGCCAATTCTTCAGATGTGAGCTACAACTACAGCTAACTGGTACACACGCAAAGCTGATGAGGGTTCATTGTCTTACACAAGGATATTTCTCCTTATGAATGATGTGCCAACAAATTTCCTGTACTTAGCCAGCATCAGCTGTAGTATTTAGCATTGTTAGCAATAAAAGCACACTATCTCATCCTTCTGTCACATCCTTAACAATGTGTCCTTGGCTCTGTGTGTCAGAGTGAGACAGTGTAAAATATAAACAAAACCATAGCATTTTACAGTCCTGTTAAAACATAAGTGGTGTTTCTTTGAATTGATAATCTCTAAATTTTCTCCATCTTTCTGTGATGAAATGGAACAAATAGTTTTTCAGTATTGAAATACTGACACCTCTGACGGTTAACCAAATGCTCAAGTACTCCGGCACATCCCTAATCTCACATAAAATCTGTGAATGTTCACTGGTCATTTGGATGGTAAATGGCTGTATTTGTGCTGACCAGTTTCTGTTGCCACCGTTGTAACGAGTCCATACAATTCTCTAAAATGCACCATTTCACATCAAACCACTCTGAATGACTGTTTACGTCTCAACAATTAACATATGCAGATGCACCAATCAACCATAACATTAATAATTAATACTTACCTTGTATCTACACTCACTTACCATATAGGGGCTCTTTGTAGTTCTACAACTACAGACTTTAGTCCGTTTCTCTGCATACTTTGTTAGCCCCCTTTTATCCTGTTCTTCAGTGGTCAGGACCTCCATGGACCCTCACAGAGCAGGTATTATTTGGGTGGTGGATCATTCTCAGCACTGCAGTGACACTGACGTGGTGGTGGTGTGTTAGTGTGTGTTGTGCTGGTACGAGTGGATCAGACACAGCAGCGCTGCTGGAGTTTATAAACACCTCAGATTCACTGCTGGACTGAGAATAGTCCACCAACCAAAAATATCCAGCCAGCAGCATTGTGACTACTGATGAAGCACTAGAGGATGACCAACACAAACTGTGAAGCAACAGATGATCGGTCATCTCTGACTTTACATCTACAAGGTGGACCAACAAGGTAGATGTGTCTGATGGAGTGGACAGAACACAGTGTTTAAAAACTCCAGCAGCACCACTGTCTGATCCACTTATACCAGCGCAACACTCACTAACATGCCACCACCACGTCAGTGTCACTGCAGTGCTCAGAATGATCCACCATCCAAATAATATCTGCTCTGTGGTGGTCCTTTGGGGGTCCTGGCCATTGAAGGGTAAAAGAGTAAAGTGGAGCTAACAAGGTATGCAGAGAAACAGATGGACTACAGTCTGTAGAACTACTGTAGAACTACAAAGTGCAATGGACAGTGAGTGTAGAAACAAGGAGGTGATTTTAATGTTATGGCTTTTAATGTTCTTCTTTAATTCTACTAACATGCACTGCAGACCACTTTCACAGACCACTGGATTTACAGTGGCAAAGGCGCAAACATGTTAGCTCTGTATTTTACATCCACTCATACACGATTTAGGGTTTTACCTAGGCATCAGTATTGCTGTTTTGTGGTCTTCTTAAGAGATTTCTTATTTATAAGGGTGACCAAGTTGCTAGTGATTTCTCTTGCTGTGTCCAACAGCTTTCAGGCGAGGCTGTCGCTGTCTTCCTCCTCAGTCAAGCTGGTCTTGATGTCTTTTGACAGTAGCATTAGTTGTATTCCAAAGTTGGAAAATGACTTGCGACTTTGTGTAGTTTTTATTTTACTTTATTAGAAGTGAAGGACTCAAGGTTACCCAAACATAGTTGTATTATATTGCTACAGTATATTTAGATACTTAGATTATTTGCTGGAATTTGTGTTGTTTTTTTATTGCTTTTAATAGGTAAGCATGAAGTGTTACGTAGCAATCAAACACTGTGACACAGTGTAGCCTGAACTTATTTTTGTCCAAAAAACATAACACCTTGGACATTCGTTCAAGTTATATTTTGGGAACTGTGACAAATTCCGTTCCAGATATCAGCAACAACTTGTAGATATTTGACCTACTGAGTTATTTCACAGCCAGTTTTGGCTGGACATTCAGTGTCTGTATGCTGAACTGTATCAAACAGTATCCAGTCTGTTCTGGCACGACCCCAGTGTCTATGTAGTTGGCCACTTGACTGAATGCAGTAGATAATCTACTATGGTTCTGTCTTCTTCAGCTTAGTCCTCATGGGTGCCAACCCTTCAGGACCTCTGCCCCTTATTGCTTTTTGTACCTTCTTTTGCTTGAATGTCTTTGTTTTCTCTCTGTAGTATTTCTGTAATGATAAAAAAGCCACAGGCCCTCTTGTTCTCGGGGCTTCTGCTGGAGGTTTTATGTGTGTAATCTAAGCCTGTGTTGTTGGTTCAGCATCAGGGGATTTTGAGCAGTCTGTGATTTAGTGAAATTGCCTCTTCTCCGTAACACATCTGCTGCTTTTTGTGTATTTTTCAAAGCTGAGGTGGAGTGATGATCGAGTTCATAGACTCTCGGTGTCCTAATCCTGTTGGAAGGTTTTGTAAATCATTATCCTGAAGTCTACGCCACAAGCAATTCAAGTATAAGGAGGAGCTGGCACAAAAGACAGTAACAGTGGTAGTCAGTCCTGGGCCGCCAATCGTCCACAGTTTGTGTGCTTGTGTGTGTGCGCATAGAATTACCCTCATCTCAGCCAGCTGACAGCTGCTGTGTTTGGCAGTCCCGTTCAGGGCCAATCAGACACTTACATGCCCAAATGCATCAACCGCTGTGACAACAAACCTCCAGCTCCAGCACACAGAGCCCTCAGCCCACTCCATCTGAAACAGAGGCATAATTCAAAATCCTCTTCAGTCCCTCGTAAATATCACTGCCACGTTGATGGTTGAATTGAATTGAACAAAACTACACAATGGCTAGAGCTGCATCGAAAAGATGCATATTTCTAGAAAGCTATTGTTTGTGTCTATTCTGATATTAAGTACTGTTTTTACAAGCATAATCTGTTTACATAAATTTAAAGCAATTTTCTTGGCTGGCCTATGACTTTTGCTCCGTAATTTACATTATAGCGTCGCAGCAGCCAATAAGTGCAGACACCAAACCCCTAGTAGTGATCACTGTGAGCAACACCATCCTTCACTCAGATATGCTGCTTTGTTAGCAAAGCCCCAGGCCATGACTGAACATAATACCGGAAAACAGTTATCTTGCAGGCTTCAAGATGACACTGAGTAATGTATGACCTGAAATATTCAACTTGAGTGCTGAAAAAAAAGACAGAAAAAACATTAATAAAGTTCTTGAAACCAATCTCCGATGTCTTCTGGTTGTTTCTGGTGAACTTAAGCCATGGGTCAATGATAAAAGTGTAGTCAAATAAAAATGCTTGAACTCCATCTAAGTTTAAAGAAGTTTGTTTTATGTAGCAAAAGTCAGTCAGTCTTACCTGAAGTGAATCTGATGCCCAGTATCTCCTTGACACTTTACAGGATTGATGGAGCAAGAGACAGCCGAAGAGAAAGGTTACATTAAATTGTACCAAGGGGCAAGCTCTGAAGATTTTATGAGAAAACCAGTTTCAAGCTTGACCGATAAAGCTTCTTTTATAGCATGCAGTCTTTCAAGGTCATTTATCTAAAATAACAACTAGCAGTTCAGAAACTAGTGGTCAGCCTTTAAGTTGAAGTTGGTGTAGATGAGCAGCAAATTTCTCAGTGATACTGGAGATCTACCACCCTAATCCAACACACCTCACTGTAATATTCAGATGGTGCTGAAGGCCTTCATTACCTGGATCAGGTGTGTTAGATTTGGGTTGGTGTGGTAGATCCCCAGGACCAAGAATAGGCATCCCTGACTTATAGTAAAAAAAAACCTCCCCCTTAGTTTAAATGTGACTGATCAGCCAAGACATGTTTGGTGTGAAGCCTATACCCAAACAGTAAGCATTGTGCAAACTGCGTCCCTAAGTCTTCACACACTTGTCTCAAATCATGTGAAGTTATTGAGTTGTGTAATCTCAAATAGACTTGTGTATGCGGTGTCTAATACTGTATGGCCTACTGCTAGCTATGAAAATGTGCAAAATTACAAAGATGACCGCTAGCTTTGCAAGATACTTTTGTCCAACCCACAGACAGAAGCCACAGTGTAATATTAGAGGCTAAACTAAAGAATATGAAGTTCACACATTTTCCCCCTTTTTTCTCCAAGACATGTTTGGTGTCTTAAATTAGGAGTAGGGTTTCCACCTTAACCATGTAAAATTCCTGAACACTTCATCAGTGTCTTTTTTTTTTTTTTAACTAAATTCAGCGAACAGGTAGCTATGCTTACAATACAGTCTAAGGTAGATAAGATGTCAATTCAGCTACAGAACAAAATCTTGTGTAAGTGCTGCCTAGTGCCTGAACATGTCATGAGGGATGTGCCTTTCCCAAAGAATTATCCCTACATTGAGGGTAGTCTCAAATAATCAAACCTGTTCTTTGTATGTAAAATGTTTGACTGGATAAACAAGCCATTTAAATTTCATTAAAAATATTGAAAATGCTTGGATTCCTGGACATTTTGTGTAGCAGCACTAGCTATGAACCTACGGGTTTGACTGTTTGTTGCAAAGCTAGCAGCAATCTTTGTCCGTATGTTTGTCAATTTTTCAATTGACAATTTCAATTTCAGTGTCATACAGTGTCAGAAACTGCATAATTGACATGATCACTTAAGAACTTGACACAATTTGAGGTAAGTGATGATTTAGCCATGCAATCTTCACAAAGCTAATTGGCAGGGCTTTACTTGTTAGCTCCAGCGCAATATGAAAGCTAATTTCAGACACCAAATGTCTTGAAAAATGAAAAAAAAATAAATTAAATATTTTGCTAAGGTATCAGTTTAGATCAAATTGTTTTGATATTTTATGCACCAGGCATTCCTCTTGAAGCGATTACCTTCTATTGAGCCTTTTCTAATCTTCAGCGTCTGTCAAAATTTCATTTGTATTCCTGGAGTGAAGCACAATCAAAAGCTTAAAAGACAAGATAATAACTTGTAGCTGCAGATCTGTCTCAATAGGGCATTCATCTGAACCACCAGTTTTTAATCACCGAAACACAGATTGGTAGATATCACAGGGGGATGTTTTTCTTTTTCATTTTAGATCATTGTACTGTCTCAATATAAACTCTGATCCGCCTTTGTAGCGGGCTAGCAATGCGATGCTAGGCTCTCAGTCCTGGGAGTTGTATCCTGTCCCATTGCACCGAGGTTTACATGGGACGCTATTATGAATTTGCTACTTGAAAGCAATCCATGTTTCCGTGTTATCTTTAAGAGCCTTCAATAATGCTGCATGCTCTGGAAAGCCCATTCTCCTGACAAATGCGATTTGCTCCAAAACGGACGAATGAGGCCGCTCCCGGTTTAATGGGCTTATTACATAAAAATGACTGTGGGGGAGAAATAAATTCTTCCTCTCGCTCCTCTTCTTCTCCCCCTCAGCTGCGATGGGGGAAGATATTTTGCTCTTATCCTCTGTCTCGCTTACCGTCTCCATACGGGCCATACATTAGGCCTGCTATCTGGGGCCCGGCATGGCAATGAAGCCAGGTAATTTTCCCATCTACCATCCGCCGAGTAAATTCCATTTCCTCCTCTCCTCGCCATGTCTTTATTGATTTATTCTGCGGCTGGTGGGTGGCATCGGCCCCGCCGAGGCTGGACTGTCTCATTCTCGGGCCCTTTTTTCCCCTAGACAAAA